GGGATTGTTCTGTTATTCAGTTGAACTTGGTTTTTCCTTTGTTTTGTTTGGCAGCAAGTTTTAGTTATAAGAGCTTTTGTGTGGGTATCTAAGTTAAAGAGCACCGTTATGCCCTGTTTCCTCAGGTTTGTATCACCAAACTCCCGTGAATAAATAATTGTTACTTTTAAGACCAATTACTTCTGGTTCTGTTACTTTCTCTTTCCTCGAGCTGGGCTGTAACACAGAGACTCACTTGTTGCTTTACCTGCAGATGTCCAGCCTCGTGTCCGACTGCTGGAAAACACGCGACTTAATAAAGTTGTTTATTTGATCTCTTTGGTTTTATTAGACAGGTAGGTGGAGAGGAAGACAGGAAAGTAGGGAGAGGACCTGCAGCGGACTCGAACCCACGGCTGCTGTGTCGGGACCTCAGCCTGTTGACGGGTTTACAGGTCGACCGCTGAGCCCGTTGAGCTACACACTCATTTCTGCTAAAATCATATGTAATCACCACAAAGTGACTGAGCATCCAGGTGCGTGTTTACCTGCAGACAGGAAGCAGCAGGAGATCGTGACTGGTGCAGCAGGTGATGACACCAAACACACCTGGATCTGTGATTTAAAAAGCAGCTGGAAACATCTGGGACATTTACTGCAGCCAGAAACCCAAAGATGCTTTTATGTGATACTCTGCTCTCACCTGCTCTCACCTGGCCCCCTGGTTTGTGGGCGGAGCCTCAGAATGTACACAGGAGGAAGTTAAATTACCAAAATTTACGCCAGTAAAAGTGACATATTTAAATGCACTCTGTGTGCAGTTAGTTTTTTTTTTTTTTTAAATATATATCTGTGAGTTAAAGGTGGACAAACCAAGACATTAGTCATCTGGGCCTTTAAGGTTTAAAATGCATCAGTGTTAAACAGGAAGTAATCAGCAGATCATTCAGCAATGAAAATAAATGTTAAAGGTTTTCTGTTTGCTGCAGTTTCTGCTCTTGTCTCATTTTGCATCTTTTTTTGTTGGTTTCTGTCTATTCTTTAATAGTTTTTTCATTTTAAACGTATATTTTTGTTGTGTTGCAGACATTAGTTAATTAATTATCAGCTGTTAATTAATCTTCAACTCTTCTGACAATCAACAATAAGCTTGGAATCATATAATTAAATGTGTTCCTCATATTTGGACTCTGTGTATTAAAGGGACACAATAAGAGGAACATCAGCGTAACGCCGCCCTCTGACGCCATCTGTGTGATGATGTAACTGTGATGTGTGTGTGATGTCATCGTCTGGTCATGTGACTCCCAAAGCAGATTAAGAGGATTAACTGTGTCTCTCCTCCGACATGTTCAACATTCAGCTGACATTTGTCTTCACAGAAGAAGAAAAAGAAGTCTGTAGGTGGCCAATAGCTTGACTGACTGAATGACTGACTGACTGATTGATTGATTGATTGATTGATTGACTGACTGATCAGCAGCTGATTGACAGATGAAGCTCTGTGTGGTGTTCCTGCTGCTCACCTGCTGCATCCGTCTGCACAGAGTCGGCTGCCGTTTGCCCGACCTCACGCCGGCGACGCCTCTGCAGGTAGGACAGGTGCATGCTGGGAAAAACATGAAGCTGATCAATAATACAGACTGCAGGCTGGAGCTCATTGATTTCTAATCAGTTGCTGAAATGTTTATGTCTGTTCAGGTTTCAGCTGTTTTCAGCTCAACGTGCGTTTTACATGAATAAAGTCAGAAACAGAAAGTTTACAGCTGAGAAAGTAGAACTGGATCAGAACCAATGAGAAGAGTTTTGTGTTGAGATCTTCCTCTCCTTCTCTGCAGATTTAAATTCACCAACAACCAACAGAGTGTTTTAACTTTTAGGCTCATAGGAGTTGGAGCAGAACACAAACTGAAACTACTGGACTCCAGGAGCCTCTGAAACCCGTCAGCTGCTTGAAAAGTCCTGAAACCTCCATAATGACAGCATTTATTAGAGACAAGCTGTTGACACAGAACATGTCCCACTTTCACTGGGTCCTTGAACTACTCATCTGATGAGCTGTTTCATTAAGAAAGTTAAACAAACCGGAGCTTAAAATTGTAGCATTTCAATAAAAGTAACTTCAGTCCACATTTTTAAATTCTCCAAAGATGAAGCATTTGCAGAAGATTCTGTAAAAAATGCAAAGTTCTTTACTGGTCAGCACAACGGATTCTCCACGACTGACTCAAACCTGTCTCATCAAATGTGTACATTCTGTCAGGTATACATCATAGAGCTCAGTGTGGACAGTACGGGGAGACAACATTTGCTCCAGCAATGTTAAGCTCGTGTTTTTATTTAAAATATATTTTTGTGACATAAACAATCGAACAAATTCAACCTTTGTTTATTCTTTTCTATGATTTATGTACTTTTTAATGATTAACAGAATTGTCGCATTTCTTTGTCATGACTCCTGCACAGAGTATAATTTGCACAAATCTATTTATTTGCAACAATTCGTTGCAAATAAATAGATTTTTGCTAATTAGACAGATTGTTAGAAACACTGTGAGTGTTTTTTAAACTTTTGGGAATGATTTTCTGACTGAGTCCTGCTGACAGAAGACGTCTCTGAGCTCTCTCTCCTCCTCCTTCATGTTCTGGTTCCTCAGAGCTGCAGGACTTTATGCTGAAACATGAACCTCAGTGAAGGACCACGAGACTGAAACTGATTTGCTGCAGCATTTTACCTGATCTGCTCTTCTTCAGGTCTCCAAATCAAACACCGTCACAACTTTAAAAAGAAACGTCGTTCGTCTTCCTGGACTCTGTCGGCGGCTGAAGAGACGAAGAGTCACTGTTCTGGTAAAAAGCACAGCTGCTAGTTGAAGTTCATCAGGTGTTTACAGTGGATGAAAACGTCTCTCTGCTCTTCCTGTTCAGTGTAACCTGGATGTGTTCTGCTGGGGGCGGAGTCGGGGGCGGAGCCAGAAGTCTGGTCAGGTGTGTCGCTGCCCACGAGGCTCCAGGTGTTCACATTTCTTTGTCCACAGTCTCTGAATGAAGAAACAAACACCCACAAACTGCTTTTATATTGATGACTGATTTTAGTTTAAGAGAATGAAAGCTGCCTGTTTTTGAATGTAGTTATTATTCAGATGTTTAAAGAAATGTAAGAATACATTTCTGTAAATAACAACAACTTTGTTTTATGTTGTTTTTTCGTAGTTTTAGTACATCTATGTGATTTTCTTGTGTCTGGATATGAAACATGTCAGGATGTTTAAAAGTATGGATTCTGAAACAACATTTTATGATAAAGATCAATAAACAGCTTTGTTCAGCTAGTTTTTGATCAGTGGATTGATCTGATCAGGTGGCCTCACAAACTGAGATTAAATCAGACCTGAGTTTCATTAACGACGGCAACCAGCACAGGTTCAGTATAACAGCAGGTAACAAGTTTGTCCTCAATCTTTCTTCATAATCTACAACAGCAGAGTGCAGTTCTGTGAAACGTCACCAAAGTGTTGAACTATCCTGAACTGTATCAGCTCCTAATAGCCGCAGTACTTTTAATTTGAAAAGCAGAATAATTCATCTCAAACTCAAAGAACCAAAGTGAATCCAGCTGTGATCAGTGAAACTAAAATGAGTCCATCAGACATTCATGGAGCTTCTAGAAACGTCATCAACACCTTCTGCCCTCATGCAGCCCCACATCATGATGCTGCCACCTCCGTGCTTCACTGTCAGGACCATGATCCACTGTGGTGGTCCTGGGGCCTGGACCAGAAGCAGGATCTGGGGTTATTGAATTAGCTTCAGGTTAAATCCTGGGTTTTCGGTCCTACGACGGTAGCTCTCTTCTGACCAGGTCCATCACCATGGTAACCTAGCTGAACCTGCTCCGCAGCAGGTTCTGCTGGAGGTTGAGACCAGTGGTATAAAACACCTCCACTGGAAACCAGTTCTCTGCCGTAAACCTTCAGAAGGACAGAAAACGAAGCAGCTCTCACCAACATGGCTTCATCAGCATCTATGGAAGAGCCGCTACACATCGGAGCTGGACTGTGAGGGACCACTGAGGACTGTGAGGGGTTTTCAGGACCAGCAGAACCCCTTAGTGCCCCCTGACCAGGATCTCTATGAGCTCCTGTCTGCCTTAGTTCATGTGTCTCCTGCTGGCTACAGACAGTGTCAAAGCTGCTTCATATTTATTTCCATCAACATCAGCCACAGCAGCAAACTGACTTCAGCATTAAAGCTCGTATCTGTAGGACACGTTAATGAGCTGCACCGCTTTGGATCATGGTTCTGTTGGTTCTCCATCTGCTCCCACGTCCTTTCTACACCTCCAGGGCTGCAGCTGGAGGTAGAACATGTCAGATAGGCCACGAGTCTGTCCATCAGGCAGCACAGGAGCTAAAGGAGTCCTGAGATGTGCTGCTGGTCTGATACGAGCCTTCATGATGAGCAGTGATCAGGTTTTATGATAAACTAATGAGCTGATCGTCCACACAGGCAGCAGCTTCCTGCCACCATTCCTTCCTGCTCTGCTCTCTTTCTGCTCCTATCATGGTTTTATGTTCTTCATATCTGGTCCAGATGATGTTCTGCTCCTCGGCGGTAAAGTGAGCCGCTCTGCAGCCAGACTGGTCCGTAGACCTGATTGGTCAGAGGCCCATAACTCCGCCCATTTTATGTGCACACGCTCAGATCAGATAACCCTGGGTTGACTTACCGAGCTGAGGACCACCGTCGTAGGACCGGTTACCCTGAGTGGGCTGTTAGGGTTAGTCAAGCTGGATCTCTGGAACATATCCTGGTATGCTGATCCGGCTTCATAGTGCAGGGCCCTGGTCAGGTTCACACCAAACATCTGGACTCCATCTGAGCCCAACACATTTATCTTCATCTGACCAGAGAACGTTCTCCAACATCCACCATCCAGAGAACAACATCACACAAGAGCTTCTACACCAGAACCAAGTGGAACCAGGACCTGAACAGTGTCACCAGACATCACACAGAAGTTGTTTCTCTTCCATTTATTGAACCAGAAACTTCACAGAGAAACAAAAGTGGAACATATTTACAGTAAAATCAGCTGCTGCTGCATTTAAAGACTTTAAACAAAAATGAGAAAAAAAACTTACAAGAGTTCAAGATGCGTCAACCAATCAGAGGCTCGATTTACTGACTGGCTGGTGTCCTACCGTTTGTTTGGAGCAGGGACCAATCAGAGCCCAGTGAGCGGACATGTCAACCAATCATGTCAAGGTGGAGAACCAGGATCAGTGATGTCCTGTTCTGACCCAGTTCTGACCCAACTTCAGGCTCCAGATGATTCAGCTTTATTAAAGCTCCAGTTTCAGAATTAAAGGTTCTGATGGTTCCACCCGATCAGAACGTTACTCTGTCATCTGATGTAAAGACTAACTTTCCTGACTTTTTACATGAAACTAAACTTTACCTTCTGCACGTGCTCAGAACAGTTCAACACTCATGCTGACTTCTGAGACAAATGCTGTTGGTACTACTTTGACTCTGTGGTGTTGGTACTTTCACTGTAACAGAGTACTGCTACTCTGCAAGTACTAGTACACTGTGACCAATCAGAGAGCGTCATCAGCCACTGGCCCCGCCTCCACAGTCTCACAGCGAGCGCCGGTTCGCTGCCTCACGGTGGTTCTGTTCTTGTGCACACGCCTGGTTTTCACACGCACAGATTGTAGTTAAACACTGCATGAAGTCAGAATGTGGCAGAACCGGTGGTGACATCACAGAGCGGGTCTGAGCCACCGTGATGCCTCCAGCACCAGATCACTACTGCCCACGCTCCAGCTGAACACCACAGCACCTGGTTCTGACACATTCTGGCTTCACCTGAGACGGATCGGCCATCTATACATACAAGCTGAGGTTCTGGTCCAGTTTGAGCCTCAGTGTCCGTCTGTCCCGGGTCGACAGATCTGCAGGATCTGACAGCTGGATTATAACCTGACAAACTGTCGGCTCCACAGCAGAAACTGAAAGTCTGATCCCGGTTCTGATTCTGGTTCTGGCTCATTATCTGCTGCTCAGTCTGTTGGGGGTTAAGAGGGAATAAGAAGTCGCTGGTGAAGATGAAGCAGAACTGGAACAGAACCTCTTCATTATGTTCAGCAGTTTTAAATAACAGTCAGTGTAGGTTCTTCCTGCCCTCAGTTCTATTCCTGGCTCTGGTTCTGATCCTGGCTCTGGAATCCTAGATGGACTCGATCTGGCGACGGACCTTTTCGGAGGCGAGGCGGTCGAGCCAGCGCTGACGGAAGACAACCAGGACGGCAAAGAGCACCGTCAGAGCCAACATGGCTGCCTCGAACTTCCAGAAGAGATGTTCCTCCATGAGAGCAGAGCGACAGCTGAGGAAGAGGAGACGGTTAGTCTTCATCACCACATCACCTCCCTGATCCTTCAGCAGACGCATTAAAGTCTCAGAATGTTTCATTCAGAGATGCTTCATTTCTCCATGACTCCATCATCCTGGTTTTATTCGAAACTCTTTCAGTGTCTGTAGCTTTGAATGAGCTGCTGGCCCCGCCCCCTGCTGCTGACCCCACCCCTTGCTGCTGGCCCCGCCCCCTTCAGGAAGAAGACTGTGATTGACAGATGAATGAGAGCAGGACTGTCTATCCTCTCACGTTCTCTCTGAGGATCATCTTACAGTAAATCTGAGTGACTTCTCAGCTCATCCTTGTTTTTAACTCCTGAGTTTGTTGTCAGACGACGTCATAAAATCAGAGTTTAAATGAAGTGATGCTGGTCAGCGTGTCGTCTGGAGGAGGTCCACTGTTTCACCCTGGTTCTGATGCTTTAGATAAAACTATTAAACCGTTTTCTTACTGTTTTAATGAAACATGTCTCTGGTTTCATCTCTGCTCTCAGCTCACATGTTGTGTTTGTGTGTCTGAACAGTCATTGTGTGTCAGCAGGTGAGTTCAGGTGAGTCCTCACCTCTTGTACTCCTCCCTGCTGGACTTGGTGCAGTTCACCTTCTCCACGTATCCCGTCTGTCTGCAGGCCGTCTGCGACTTCTACAGCAAACATTCAGAACAACAACATGTGAGTCATTGTGGTTCTGACGCTGCTGGTCCAGTTTAACCCAGCAGGACATAATTACTGCACGACACAAATCCTCTGCAGAACTTTAGTTTTTCAGTGTGCAGGTTTCTGCTCAGGCAATGTTGATGTTGCTGAACTGGATTTTTTTTTAAAACACGCACAGATAGACAGAGGAGGATGCTGACAGAACGAAGGCTGTTCACACCTGCAGCCTTCATCCAGGTGAGTCACAACCTCTGCTGTTAATCCCCAGTGACCACTTTAAAACCTGAAACCTTCAGAGGCTGGAAGCGGCACACATTATCTGGATGTGTTCCAATATAGTCGGCTGGGTTTCTGTTCCTACATCTGTAGCTGATGAGATGATTTATTCCATCTCAGATCATCAGAAGTTTCTGCTCAACCATCTGGGATTCACTTGAAAAATCAGAAACTGGGTCAACTGGTAATTTTTGAAAACAATTTATCTCAAAAAGTATTTGAAGCATCAACCTAAAGTTTCACAAACACCTTTACAAATATTCAGACTATATGCTATAAACACAGAAATTTTATACACATACACACAAATATATATATATATATACACACACCTAAATGTGTGCAGAAGTGTATATATGCAGGTGTGTATATATATATATGTCTGTATGTGTATATTTCTACAGGTTTTTCTTTCTTACATGTACATATTGTAATTGTTTTTATTTCTAATAATTTTTGGTTTGTTATTTTCCAGCCCGATGTCGAGCTTTTGCATCAACATTTCAGTCCAAGTGTGGACCAACCAGTGTAAAGTGGCTATTCTATTCTATTCTATTCTATTCTATTCTATTCTATTCTATTCTATTCTATTCTATTCTATTTTATTCTATTCTATTCTATTCTATAGTTTGCTGCTTTGCGATAAAATGCTCCACATGATAACAGGTGGATTCTTGGTTTTAAAGAACTTTGCCAGAAATAAATGTCTCTGAATCAGTAAAAGTGTCTTTTGAAACTCACTGAGTCGAAGTCGTTGCAGCGAACACACTCCCCCGTCACGATGAACTCCTCCAGCAGCCAGCAGGGGGCGACAACAGGCTTCACTGCTGCACACAGAACAACACAGTTCAACAGTGTTACAGCTGAAACTCACTGAAGATTTGATTTGAGGCGCTGAACGCAGCCTGCTGGTACCTGTCGTCTTCTCTTCACTCAGCAGAGCAGCTCCAAACACTCTGAAACACAACAACACACAGTTTAGTCTTTACTTTAAGCTTGTACAGTTTCTGTATCATACAGTTGGAGAGACTTGGTCAGAATATTAAACCTCAAACTGCAGCGGGAGACATTAATACTCAGGCGCCGTGATGCAACGGCTGCAGAGGACTGAGTCAGAAAAACTCCGACTGGATGAAGGGAACAGCCTGGTGTTTTCATTCATCATTTTCTTGCCTTCCCTATAGCAGGTAGGATGCATATTGGACCACAGCCCAGCCGCTGCCAAACAAACTTCTTTAGTCCTCAATTTATCATCTGAGAACTTATGTACTCATAGTTTAGATTAGAAGACAAGAAAGCTCTATACACTTAATATCAATAACACACAGAACCTAAGAGAACCTCCTAAAGAAAATTTGAAAACATCCCAGTTTCCACAAAAACCTAGAACCCTCCACAAGAGAATCTTAGAACCTCCTGTGAAGGAACCTGAACTGTCCTGGTTGTTTGTTCTCTGTGTTCAATCAGCTGACCAACAGCGACGACGAGGACCAGACCTGGGCTGCGTCTGCCATCATCCACTCACTCTCTACCTCTGGACCGCGGCGCAGGAGCCACAGCTGAAACCACAAGTTTACATCCAGCATAAAACAAGACACACAACCTTTTCTTCTCAATGTCCGACATTAAATCAGACCAAACTTTTCCCGCTTAAGGTCGGTCAGGATTACTAACATCATTTATACTTGCTCAACGCCAGAATAATGAGAGAGAGATCCTCCACCCTACCAGAACCGAGCTCCGCACCACGGGAGATCGGGCCTTTTGCGCTGCTGCACCACGTCTGTGGAAGTCCCTATCCAGCTCCCTCAGGTCAGTGGCTGCTTTTAAAAACCACTTTCAGACTGTGCTTTTCAAAGAGGCTTTTAACTCACCTAACGAACTCCTTTTTTAAAACTGTGATTTTAAGGGTTTGTACTGTGGCTTTTTTATTGCGTGCTTGTAGCACTTTCTTTCAAATTAAAAGTGCTTTATAAATAAAATGTATTATTATGTTTTAGAGATTTTTTTATTACTTTCTTCAAAGTCAGAAGTTGAAGGCATCTTAGTGGATGGAAACTTCTGACTCTGAAAAAAGTCATAAAACATTCTCTCTCTCATTATTCTGGCATTTAGCAAATAGAGATAATGTTGGTGATCTGACTGAGCTGAAACAGGAAACGTTTGGTCTGATTTAATGTCAGAGAGGGAGAAGAAAAGGTTTTGTGTCTTTTTATACAGTGGATGTAAACTTCTGGTTTCAGCTGTATGTAGGGAACTACACAGTCTCCGCCCACAGACTCACCTGAGGGAGACGAGGCCCCAGAACAGAGCGTGAAGGACGAGGACTCGCGGCCGGCAGCAGGCGACAGGGATCCGACAGTCGCTCTCCATCAGTCTGCTCCTGCAGCAGGACGACAGCGCAGCCACCCTGACTGCTGCTGCTGCTGGTTAGTGACCGGTTACCTCCTGGTTACCTCCTGGTTACCGCCCGGTTACCGCCCGGTTACTGCCTGGTTCTGAACCTGTGTGCAGTCTGACTCTTGGCTGGGCTGTTTACATGGCGTTTGGACTGAACACAGTTTTAAGGCTTCAGGCTGTAGAATCCTGAAAGATACAGCAAATCAATCAGTCAATCAATCGCAGAATTCTCCCTTAAAACTATCAGTCTGATCAATATTTTGATTAACCTGCCAGTGATAATTGTACTGCCGCAATGAGAGCAAAGGAAGATCAACTTTAACTACTCTTTCTGCTGCATCTTTCCGAACTCTTACGATTCTAACTTTCGATGACTGACCCAGAAGAAAAGACAAGAAACAGGTTTTGTGTCTGTTGTTAGTTTGAACATTTAAATCAGCAGCACAAAGATCTGAATGAGTTCAAAGATAACAGAACAGTTTCTAATATATCTGCCAGTTAGATTTTTATTTTCTCTGCAGATCTTCTTCCTACAAAATCACTACCATCAATCCAGTTCTCCATTCCTTCCAAACGGAGTTTTTAAGCCATCTAATGAAAATTCCTGCATGTTTTTTGAATATAAGGCAGAAACACTAAATATGTGGTGTTTTCAGGAACCTGCGGCTCTGCCTGTCAGTGACTAATCACCTGGTTGATCAACAGACGTGTTACCGTTAAAGAAAAAGGCTTTAAAATCAGTTGCCTTTGTTTCGCTTCTATTACAGACACAGTGAACCGTAGCTACAGATCTGATCTCTGCTTCGTTAAACAGAACTGAACCTATAAAGGCAACGAACAGAACCAGACTTTACTCCAACTAAACACTTAATCGATACAAAAACTGATCACTAATGAGTCTGTGATCTGACAGCAGTTTCCACTCAGTGAATAATCACTAATCAGCTCGGACTAAATCTGTGACGATGCTAGCACAGCAGCTAACCGGCTAACGCTAACTGTTGTTTGATTCAGTGATTTTTAATGAGCGTCACACAAACACTCGGTGACGGAGCTGCTAATGCTAACAGTCTGCTAACACTGTACTCTCACACACACACACACGAGCTAACGATAGCTTAGCTCAGCTTAGCGTATTTTTGAACGCTCACCGGAATCCACCAGAACAGCCGCCATTATGGAAGAGCAAGAAAAACACAAAAAACGGCTCAAACCGGAGCAGACTCTAACTCTTAGTTAAATCCTCCGGTTAACGGCGATCTACCGGGGAAATCCGAAGCGCCTCACCGGATCAGAACGCGTCACACCGACTGGTAAACGCAAAGCAGCACAGATACCATTTCCTGTGTGACTCTTCACAGTAAGAGCATGGCGCCGCGGGTTTTAGAAAAGCAATACTTTTGTTTTCACTGATTTTGCTTCTAATATGCACTTATTAGTCCAGTGTCCATTTATGAGTCTATTATTGTTATTTTATACTATTTTAGCGAGTTGTACGGTCATACTGAGGTCTGAGCAGTGTAATATTTATACCACATTGTATGTGTAGACTGTCATATACGAACCTTTATATTGAAGTTCACAGTTTTCCTTCTGCTGCTCTCGTCACCCGTGTGCTGCGCATGCGCAGCCTTAAACTACCAACAACCTTTACTAGAAACCGTAAACAGAGTAAAACGAGGATCACAGAAAAACAAATTTAAAAAACTGTAAAGATGGAAGTTACGTGTATTTACAGCATGTGATAGCAGAAACAAATAATAAAGAAGTAAATTAAAAAGTGGTTTATTGTTTATTCACTGAGTTTCAAACTTTTCCTTTTCAAACAGGAAGAACTTTGCTGACACCAAGTCTGTTGTATTTCTTTATAAATATATATATATATATATATATACATACATAGTGACCCAAAAACGCCACACAGAACCAGTTCAACTGTATCATGGTATCAGATAATAAAGACACTTTACATCAAATTTAAACATTTTATTTTGTCCAATCAGTTTCAGAAAAAATGTAAAAACATACAAACAATAAAAAGTCAGATAGATTTAGATTTCAGCGTAAAAACTTTGTCAACTGTTCAGGTAAAACTCAAATGATCTCAGTTCATCAGAACACATCAAAGCTGAACCCTTGTGTTCCGTCTGGTCGACTCAAGGCAGACCGGGACCCTCCAGGGTGCTGACTGACTGGACTCTCACAGTGATGTCACTTGTCCATGTTAGTTGATTGGCTCGTAGGCCGTCGTAGAGGCCGCCCTCTTGCGAACGTAGACATAGACTCCTCCCAGCAGCAGGAGAATCATGGGAGTTCCCAGACCGACAGCCATGATGGCGATAACTAGCGGAGAGAAAAAGTCGACGGGCGGAGAGCCGACGCCCACCAGCAGCGTCCTAAGAAAGACAGGAAGGAGAAGTGAGTGTTTGCTAATCGATCCTATTGACTGATTGATCAGAACATCTTAAACCCAACCGACCAGCTGAGGAACTTGGTGCTGTTGTAGAACTTTTCTCCTGCAAGGCCGAAGCTCACGTTCAGTCCCACCACCTTCGGTTCTGGGTAGAACGCTCGGATCAAAGCGGACGAAGCTGCAGTCGCCTCGCCACTCTGAGGCTGCGGCTCCGAGTGGTGGCACGGTGTGGCGTCCTCCAGAACCGGGTGTCGCTGGCGGTACGCAACCGGCTTCCACTGAGCGAAGCCCAGAACATCAGAGCTGCTGTTCTCCACAGAAACCCATTCAGACACCTGAGAGACATAACATACGTGGGTCAGGTAGAGACCGACAAACAATGAACCGATGAGTCAACCGTTAAATTCATCTCCAACTATTCTAACTGATTCATCAGTCTGAGTCATTTTTAATAAAATCTGTGTAAATTCTGTGATTGCAGCTTCTCAAATGTGAATATTTTCTGGTTTCTTTCCTCCATTATGACAGGAAACTGAAGATCTTTGGACCAAAGAAGGTACCGAACGATTGAGATCTGCTGTTATTCTGACCAGTTTAAACTGGATTACTGAGATATTTCAGTGTGACGGCTCAGAAGGATGATATGAATATTTAACATAAAAACTTACTGCAGACACTGATGTTAATGATAGAAAGTTATTCTGAAGCCAAACTCAGCTAATAAAAGTCCAAACTCCAGCTTGAGAAAAACTTCAGTTTCAGGTTCAGAAATTGTGTTGACAAACTGATGAAGTTTGTGTTTGAACTGTGTGTTCATCGCGACTGCTTAAATAAAGTTTTGCTTTATTCATCACCTTGAATATGGACGGCGTGAATTCATCGTCAATTGAATGGCGGACCTCCACTCTGCTCAGAGGATAAGCTCCGCCCACCGCCTGCAGCTCCAGCAGGAACCTGGAGTGCATTGCCCGCGGCAACACGCCGTCCAGCCTCACCTCCAGCTGGGAGGAGTTAGCAGAGTGCAGGAGGCGGGGCCAGGTCTGACCACGCCCCTCCGAGTCAAACACCGACAGCTGAACGACAAAAAGTGAAAGCATCAATGAACCTATTGATCAGTTAATGAAATTTGTTCTGCATGGTGTCCCCATGGCAACGGACCTGCAAGCAGAGCGAGCCGTTGGTGAACGTGGTGGCAGCACCACAGAGCAGAGCGGTCGGACCTGACAGCTGGAGGCGGGACCAGGTGAAGTTCTGCAGCTCGTATGGAGGGAAGAAGTTGGAGGGTTCAGCCGTGTCATTTACATCATCGTACTCCAGCAGCTGAGAAGACAAACACAGTTAGACACCTGAGAGACCTGAGTCACCTGAGAGGAAGTGACTGACAGACTGACCCGGCTGAACACGACACCGCCACTGTACATCACGCTGCTCTCCGGCTCCACCTTCAGGCTGCCGCTGCTGTTACGAGCCAGAAACTGAATCCAGTTCACCTGAAGACAAACAGGTAGTCAGAATATTAGAAACAGCTGAAACGTACATCCCTGGGCGCCCCTATAGCTCCCCTAGCCGAGCAGTGACGTATGAACAGGGCTATAGTCCCCGATGCAGTGGTCGTGGGTTCGACTCCTGCTCATGACCCTTTGCGGCAGGTCTCTCCCCATTCTTCTCTCCCCTCTCCTGTCTCTCTCTACCTCTCTAAAATAAAGGCAAAAGCCAAAAAATACATATTTAATAAAATCTCTTTTTATGATAAATGGCATCTAACACAAAGGAACTCTGAGCATTTCTGTTTCATGACTCGTGCACATAGACAGACTGTTAGAAAGACAACAAGTCTTTTTGAAACTTTTGGAAATGATTTTCCAACTCAGTCGTGCTGACAGAAGACATCTCTGAGTTCTCTCTCCTCCTTCATGTTGTTCTGGTTCCACAGAGCTGCAGGACTTCAGTGAAACAAGAACCTCAATGAAGAAACAAGAGACTGAAACTGGTTGGAATTTGGAGAGTAAACGAATACAAGCGCAGCAGTGCAACGTGTTTCAATAAATATTACTGAAGGAGGCAGTAAAGAAGAAAACGTGCATATACGTGATCATTAGGAACAGCTATTCTCGTAGATTAATACGAGAATAAGCAGAATAACCATGACCTGGAGGACTGAGAATCTTCAGACATTAGGAACAGCTGAGTAGGTTTCAGATTTCTGCAGCACCACACCGGCTGTTTCTATTATTTTGTCCAGCCCACCTCTCTCGATGAAGCATAACAAACAACTTCATCTGACACTGATGATCAATGATCATCATCACAGCTGTGGATCAATAATCAGCGAGGCCAGACCTGCACAGTAGAAGACGGACTGTCTGTGTGGACCAGCAGCAGCGTCGGTGCCCCCTGGCTGCTCAGCAGGTAGTGCAGCGTGTCATTGTCTCCCACGGCTCTCACATGCAGCAGGTCGCCACCAGGAGGCGCCAAAGGAGAACCAGGATTCAGCTCTATGGTGAGCTGAGCGCAGAGGAAGAAACCGATCACCATCAATACACCAATTAATCAATAAAACAATCCATCAATCAACCAATTAAGAGACGGGGGGAGTTTAACCAGAAAGAAAATCTTTTCAATTTTATCTCTGAAGAGACAATAAAGATCATCACTGATCACATTATTGATTTGATCATCAGAGTGCATGTTTCACTGATTAATTAACTACATTTGATTTATGGAAACTATCGATAATGAAAGAAGCTGCAGCTTCAGTCATCACAATCAGTTCCTTCAAATCATGTTTTCAGCAGCAGGATCCATACGTCAGAACAAAACGGAACCGAAACTGACCGAACAGTTCAAACATGTTTGAGATGTTTTTAGTCAAATCGATCCCACATTTACGTCATTTCTACATGTTCAGACTCAGAAGTTAAATTATTTCTCGTCCGATGAAACACGAAAACAGAAAAACAAACTGAATCTTCTGAATTCTGCTAAAGTAATGAGTTCAACGAGAAAGACAGAGTTTCACAGCAGATTTTCACCGCTGCTGCTCTGCTTCACCTGTCTGCTGTCTCACCTGTCTGCTGTCTCACCTGTCTGCTCGATGTTTCTGCTCCAGAAAGCAGCTTGAAAACGCAAAGTGTTAAAATCACTCGAACCGCACCGCTCCGAGGCTCCGCTGCAGTCGCCATCTTTGTTGTGACTGGCACCGTCGCGGTCACATGACTTCGGGATACTGTCAGCTGACCGCGGAGCGGAACAGCGTGTCCTTTGCCTCTGATTGGCTGAGCCATTAATTTCACTTCCGCATCCAATCAGGGTGCGCTTTCGTCATGAATATTGACGGTTTGTCAAAATAAAACCATTCTTTATTTATACAGTAACGGACGATAATCATTTTGGGCACTAGATTAAAAACAGAATTATAAAATAGCTAAATGATTACAAAATATATTTAACAAAACAAAGAGTAAATCAGCACGTTTATATATGTAAGTACATCAAATAAATAAAACATACTTTAAAGGTTTTTTGTGAATAAATGAAAAAAATATATATATATTTAAAAAATATATATATATATTTTTTAAAACAATAAAATATCACATGTACAATTAATACAACTAAACCCATCAGCTGCTGTTTTATTATATGTCCAGTAAACTAGTATATTACATTTACACTGCATATTATTAGCTTTATTTCCCATTTCTGTCTTATCAGAAGACCTGTCCAGGCGAACCTGCCTTCACCTTGAATCGGCTGGGATAGACTCCAGCCCCTAGTGAGCATTAAGGTGTAGAGATGGATCTTATTAGAAATGCAGCAGTCTTATATATAATACTGCATTAATTGTGCAACATAAATGACGTTAAGTCAGTTTACTATTACTTTTACCTGTAGGGTAGAAGGATTATAGCAGTTCATCTAAATTAACCTTGAAGGTTCAGAGCCCAGTGTTACAGATGGGAAACCTAAAGAATCCAGACATGTATTAATCTTATAAAACCACATTTTTTGAGGATTCAGAAACCCTTCCAGTTCTCAGACGTGTTTCCTCAGTTTCACAGCTGAAACATGTAGATTTTTATTCTGTACAGTAATGAACATTTGTATGTACTGACTGAGCAGCATCTTCCTCTGACTGAAAACATTCAGTCATCAAAGAAAATATTGACACCAGAAACAGCTGAGATTCATTTTCTGATTATTTTTATGTTGAATTTGATTTCAGAAGTTTGTTTTGTTTTCTGCAGTTGATATTTGGTCCAATATAGAAAATGAGTCTGACTTATTCCGGACTTTTTAAAGCAGCACTTTATATTTTCACAAATGACAGAAACTCTTCAAACACACTGAACTGGTTCTTTATTCAGAAAACATTTTTCTCGCTCATAAAAAACTTCAAACACAAGTCAAAGCATCGAGCAGCTGCAGCTCAGTAACGGTGACGGTCAGACTCAGGTGGGCTGACAGGTGAGAACATGTGTTTACCTTATGAGGACGTGAGAAGCAACACAACAGAGATCAGAATCAGGTTTCAAACTGACAGTTTTAAGTTTCAGTGAGTCGTCTGGTCCCCACACACACACACACACAGACAGACAGATACACACAGCTACACACACACAGACAAACACACAGCTGTCGGAGTGACTCTGATATTGATCGGGATCAATCGGATCGATCTACTCGGCTCCTGGTCCTCCCATCTGCTCATCTTTGTCTTTCTTCTTGTGACCAGAGACGATGTCATCGATGCGTAGCAACAAGATAGCCGTCTGCAAAACACATCAAGTAAATATACCAAGAGCCGTCAGTAACAGTATTGATTGGTACCGATCAGTACCAATTGATATCGGTCAGTGTGTATCTGCCGTTCTGACCTCGACTGCGGTCTTGTAGGTTTGAGCTTTGACAGCAAGCGGCTCCCAGATACCAAGAGAAGACATGTCAGACAGACAGCCGGTTTCTCCATCAACACCCCAACACACACTGTTGTCCTGAGTGTGTTTGGCCTGCACACACACAGACACACACACACACACACACACACACACACACACACACATATCAACAACATGTTAAAAACACGTAACTGTAGTAAGCAACTTCACAACACATCATGCTGCTGGGTGTAAATACAGTTATTTTGAATACCCTCAGTGATGTCAGCACTCGGATGGTGGAGGCGCCACAGTTCTGGATCAGCGTTCGGGGGATCACTTCCAGCGCCTGGGCCACGGCGCGGTACGGCCACTGTTCGATACCAGTCAGAGCGCGGGAACGCTCCGTCAGACGCTTCGACACCGCCATCTCCACAGCACCACCGCCAGGCAGCAGGGACGGGTCGAGCAGCACGTTGCGGCACACCTGCATGGCGTCCTGCAGGTTCCTCTCCACCTCCTGCAGACACAGACAGCGTCACAGACAGAACCAATCGACCAACGATCAACTGATCGACGGATCAGTGTCTCACCGCCAGGATCTCCTTGCTCGCTCCTCGCAGCAGGATCGTGCACGCTTTGGGATCTTTGCACTCGGTGACAAAGGTGAAATATTCGTCTCCGATCTTCTTCACCTCGAACAGCCCCGCCCCCAAACCAACGTCTTCCTCACGCAGCTCATCGGTCCGACTCACGATCCGAGCACCGCATGCCCTGGCAGAGAGAGAGAGAGAGAGAGAGAGAGAGTCAACAGACGCTTGCACGCCCCGAAAGAGTTCAGACATGCAGGTGCTTCAGGTCTGTGCTGACAGCTGATTGGCTGCAGGTGGATGTACCTGGCGATGCGGTTGTTGTCGGTCTTCCTCACACGGCGGATGGCGGTGATGTTTGCCTTCACCAGGTAGTGCTGAGCCAGATCTGAGAGCAGAACAGGTTGAATGAGTGACTGCTGGGTTCACCTGTGGTGTTACACCTTTAGTTGCTGTAGGGGCAGGGTAACGTGGTCCAGGTGAGGTACCTGAGATGCCTTTCTCTGTGAACACCAGGTCTGGTTTGAGGCGGATGATGTCCTCACAAATCTGCTGGATGTATTCTTCCTCCATCTGCAGAATCCTGGCAAAGTCCTCCTCCTTACTGATCTCAATGTCCGTCTGCACACACAGTGTGTCACAATTAGTGTGTGTTACAGTCAGTGTGTGTTACAGTGTGTGTTGTACCTGGCTCTCGCCCTTCTTGTACTCCAGAGAACAGTCC